TATCTCAGCTGAAGTATCCTGATCCATTTTGTGACCGATTTTGGTTCGCAAGTGGAGTTAGTGCCTGTCTCGGGTTTGCAGAGTGCCTTTATCTGCCCATATATTTGCTTCTGATACCTCCTGAGGGACTTTCTTGACCTCTTTGTAAGTACTGTGGCTTGAGTACCATACACCATAGTTGGTGCAATAACCGGCTCGAATAGTCTCGTGCCCATTTTCATTGTTGGTCTTCTCTTCTTTAGGAAATCTAGTATGATTTTTGAGGCAATAACTGCATCTCTTGAGCGCTTTCGGGTGGTTAAATTCCGGTGAAGTCGTTCCGTGATCGGTACTGCAAAGTAAAATAACGAAGATGTTGTTTTGTAAACATGCCCAGCAATAACTAATTCTGAGGGTGATATTCCTACAGGTGATCTTATCATTACTTGACATTTTTGCTCATTCAACTTTAAGTTGACTTCTCCCAAGTAGTTCTGGAGTACTGGTAATAGCTTATCTAATTCCTCTACTGTTCTGGCAATTATCAGAATATCATCCGCATACACCAGAATAATAGGAAATTTGAGCTTACCGGACTGATTAAGTTTGAGCAAACCATCCAACTCATCCTCGACTGTTATAAGTACTTCTTCCATTATGAGATCGAATATATAGGGAGAAAGAGGGCATCCCTGTTTAACCCCTTTCATTCGATTTTTTGGAGCTGTCTTTTGTCCTTTCCAAATAATCTGTTGCTCCTCCATATTCAGGCATCTCGTTATTCTATTGGTCAGTTCTTTAGATGCTCCTTTACCCGTAAGAATGACTGGAAGTGCTGTAAGGCTGATATTGTCAAATGCTTTTTGAATATCTAAAGCCATCACTATTATATCGCACATCTATGACACAAACGTCATTCCCATATACTTTGCGTGAAGCCGAAAAATCCTGGTTCTCTGGTTCGATCGAACCAGAGAACCAGGATTTTTCGGCTTCACGCAAAGTATATGGGAATGACGTTTGTGTCATAGATGTGTTATATCGTCGCCCGCATTCCATTTTTCTTCCAAGATGCGGCGTGCAGCAAAGATGTGGTCCATCGTTGAACGTTGACTTAAGAAGCCTGCTTGATGAGATCCGATAGGGCTGGTACATTCAATCAGGTGACCTAGAATCCAGCTCGCATAAATTTTGTAACCGATGCTAGCTAATACAATCTTCCTGAAATCCTTTGCTGTCTTGGGGCTTTTAATTTTGGGAATGGGAATTACTAGAGTTTTCCGCCATCCTCTAGGAATGTTGTTCTCCTCCCATACTCTCTTAAGTAGGTTTTTGAACTCTTCCAGCGTCGGTTCATCCGCATATTTTAGCAGTTCAATCTGTATCCCATCTTCCCCAGCAGCTTTACCATTCTTACAGCTTTGCAAAGTTTCAGCGTAATTGGAAATGATCGGTCAGGATCGATTTGCGAACCTTCGTGGAATGCCTCTATTGTTTCTATGTGTGCGGTGTCTGGTGCCTCCAAAGATGCATCTTCTTCGTTTAAAGTATCCAGTTCTTCGGGCAGAAGGTTAATTGATTCCGGGTCTGTGAATTGGTTCAATGAAATGTCCAGGAATTTCTGGGCCGCTGTTTTCTTTTTGTATTTTTTTACGTATTGATAGGTTCTCTTTATTCTCTCCGCTGGTTTAAACTTCTCGAGATTGTTGAAGAACTCCATTTCTTCTTTCTCTTCTTTTTCTTCACAAAGTTTTCTATAGTTACGTCGCGATTCAGAGAGGTCTTTCAGTCTACGTGAACTCAACGGGCATCTATTTTTTCCAAAAAATACATTTTTTTAGATTAGCCAAAGCGCACCGACGATTTGGAGAGTTAGGAATCTTTGACAATTTGTTGATTGAAGCAGTTGCTGCTTTCTTCATTTTGTCAACTAGTTTATCCCACATTTCCGACGTTGATAATGAACCATCTTCCATATTGATCGTCATTTTAGCTAGGTTGTCGTGGTACTTTTTTCTATAGATCTCGTTCTGTAGCAATGTTACGTCCCAGTTGACTATAGATTCCGTATTATCCTTAATCCGGTTCGTCTCATCTTTGTAGTTATTGTTTTTTGTTGATGACTTGCCTCTGATCTGAATTCCAAACGTGAGCAGCTTATGATCGGTTTGAACATCCTCAAGCATGAAACCACGAATTTTCTTTATGAATATTTTCGAGTTGCGATTATTCAAAACGTGGTCTATCTGAGACGATTTCCCTTGGCAAATCCATGTTTTCTGCACCGAAGCGTGGGCCATAGTGTTCCTGTCTGCTAGTTTATGCGTACGCATGCAAAATTTCATTTGTATTCCATTATCATTAGCTTTTTCGTGTCCTGCAAACTTCCCTATAAGCTCGCTCTCATCCGGGCCTAAATCTGTGCTGCCCAACTGGGAGTTGAAGTCACCACATATAAGTACTTCTTTCTTATTTTCACAAGACAGTAAAGCATGTCCAAGTTCCGCAAAAAAAAAGTGGATATTCCATTATTAGGCGCGTGCACATTTATCAGGGTACATGGTCTTTGATTTTTCCCTAACCCAATGGATACTTCTGTCAATACACAAATGGCGGATTGTGCTTAGTAGGACCAAAATTAGAAATAAGTCCTATATAAAAAAATAGCAAACAATCATGGGGTGTTTCGTGCAAATCGAAAAAAGTCGAGTCAGATAATCATTTTATTTTGCTATTTGACCTGGAAATGCTTTAGTATTTTTTTTTCTGAAAAGGGAAGCTTAGGATAGGTTAGATTTATCCATGAGACTTTCAGTCGTGGGCAGGTTCGTCTCTTGCTCTGAAAAGGCAATCCAGTTTCTAACAACTTTGCTTCAGACATCATATTGATTAGATGAGCCGTTTTTTTGAAAAATTATACGAGGATCAAAATGGCCGAATTCCGTCACAAACTTAGTTCATGGCCCTTAGTGAACAAATATGCGAAATTTCATGGAATTTGGAGAGGGAAAAATCGGGGTGTTTACACTTACAGTGTATCTCAAAATTGAGCGTACACCTGAATGGGCAAGGTTTTGAAAGACTGTGAGTAGATAGATTTTTGAAATCTTGGCTGGTTGAACAACTATTTATTGATTTATCAGTACAGCTTTGGACTTATTGGCAGAGTATGTATGAAGTTTGAGAAATTTCAATAAAACGGTCGATTTTAAACTTTTTTCATAGTAGGCGGATTTTAGGAAAAAATAGCGGCATTTTAAAGATCTTTACTATGACTATGAAATTTCAAGAAAATGCGTTTTTTTTTTAGGAAATTTAGTTTTTCTATAATAACTCTAACTCCTTACACACTCATCCAAATAAGCCCAATACTATACCGATAACCAAAAAATGGTTGATGAACCAGTAGCCAAAAATTTAGAAATCTAATTTTTTAAGTTGTGCTCGTACAGCTGTTTTTCTTAAATGTACGGACAGCTGTACCCTAAATTTTGAGATACACTGTATGCTATTTCACTAGCGCTAATGAGCCAGCTGCTAGCAGAAAAGCTCACCAGCATAATGTAAACCAGTCATCAGCGTCTACCAGCATGAGATTTCATGAGCAACCAAAATTCGTGCTAGTTGGCTAGTACACTCCATTAGAGTGGAACTGCTCTCTGTTCAAAGGATGGGCAATAACATTGCGGCCTTTCATTAGTCGCGGTCGTTCGTTTAGAAAAGCAATGCCCGCATGGATCTTTGTACAAAGATCCTTTTGGGTAAACCAAAAAGTTGTGCGGTATATCAAATCCCTATATGTTAAAATAATTTCAAATTAATTTCAAGAAAACAGCACTGATTGTAGTTATGTTGAGATTAATCGTCAACTTCAAATAATCTGTCTACATTCAAATTTTGCTTCCTATGTTCCCAAAACTCCATGTTACAGTTTTTCACTTATGTACTTAATCTACATATATATATAAACATGAATTTCTGTATGTCTGTCTGACTCTTATAGACTCAGAAACTACTGAACCGATCGGCGTAAAAATTTGTATGCAGGGATTAATAGGGCCGGGAAAGGTTCTTATGATCCCTCCCCCTCTGTAAAGGGGGCTCCCATACAAATGAAACAGAAAAATATAGCATGCATTTTTGAATCGGCGCTTAAACTCAAGATACTACAAGGCCGGGCATACTCAGCTAGTTTCATATAAAAATGCTAATTGGATATTGACAAAAACATTATCCAATAGATTCTATGGAGCATTAAATTCAACAAAAATCCCTCCTAACCCCGACCATTAATCATTGATGCTGTCAATAGAGCAAGATCGTACCAACATGAAAACGGTATCCAAACTCACTGTTTCCATCGGTGTACCACCGCTTCACACGTGATTTCATCTCTCACCATGCGCATCCACCTGTTTATCTGGCGACGGTATCTCACCTTTGCACAGCACATTGTTCCATGCAGTGGAGCTTCTCACAGAGAAAGAGAGTGCGGATGATTCTACCCACCCACTCACCATTTTTAGCGAGAGGAGTCTACCAAGCATAGACGTAACGAGCTATGCAAGGCAACTGGGTGTAATACGCGCTAGCGGTGTAAGAAAAACCACCTTTTTTCAACTACTTTTGAATCAGCAATTTATATGAAAAAATCACTAAATGGTAGATCAGCAGTTCTGAATAAAAAACCATTAAACTTTGATTAAAAGTCCTTGAAAAAATGCTGTGGGTCATATCACTCCCTTGGCGCGTTTTACACCATTTCACCCTACGTAATGCTGCGGGTGGTAGAAATCAGACCGAACAGGTAGGTAGATAGATATCCCAAAACAGAGCGAACTCCATCTCTGGAGCAGGAGAGCGTGGAACGAACGTGGAAAATCTCTCCCGCGACAAGTTGATATAGGCAGTGCGTGCCAGTTGCTCCCCCTGACGGGAGATTCGCGCGATCGTCGGTCGGCAAACGGAAAAAGCATGTCATCGGCGCTTTCCAGTCTTTATCTAGATTCAAGTTGGCTCAGTTCAGTTCGGTGTGCCGAGTTGACAGGATCTTCCGGAGCTTTCTGGCGCTTTGTGGTTAGCTATCTCTATGAGTTGTTCTTTTTTGTTCTGTTTTGTACACAGGAAGTATATCGCGTAGTACGGAACAGTTGGAGTTCGTTCGAAAATTTGCTCCAATCTCATACTCAGGTGCGCGGAAGGTGCTGCCTTGCCTGGAAACGTATTTCCCACCTGACTGTTTTCTCATTTCCGCGGGTGTTCCTCGTGGTGGTACAGGACCAACGAGGGCAGCAAATGTGTTTCCTGTGAAGGCAAAAGGAACATTCAAACGAAACTGGCAGAAGAACCCATGTGTGTGTGTTTGTGTATATATATATATATATGTGGGATGTGTATATGCACTCTGCTTTGGACACCAGAGTAAATGTGCAAATAATTTGTTGTAATTTTCAGTGAAGCGAATTTCCCTTGTGCATAAATACACCCGCAGTGTTTTTCGTCTGTTTTGAGCGAATCCGCGGGTGGCGTAGTGGTAGAGGACTGAAGAAGGTGGTGTGAAAACGGTTGTGTGCATAACGAGGAAAAGCTCATTCATTACAGTTCAACCTTAAAGTGATTCCGTGCGATGGGTTGGCACACGGAGATTATTGTATCACGCCCGAGAGTGAATTATTTGTGTATCTTCAGTGTGTCGTAATCAGACGAGGATAATAGACGAAGCTTGTTGCACAAGAGCTCCGAAAGCATTGCTGTGCAAATATAAGAACCCGTGCGAGCAAGCACGGCGCATAAACTCAGAGTGCAAACATAACGGGAGAGTGTATGTCATATCACGGAAGGTGGATGTTTTTATTTTCTACCACGATAGGGCTATGTTGCCTTTGGACACCTACCTTTTTGCTACCTTACTTCTGTTTGGGCGGCTGTTACCAATGTGTGGAAATATGATGCAGACAGACGACGAAAATCCATTTCAGAGATAACCATCACAATCTGGCTTTATAACAACATCACCGTCATCTTCAGTCAACGGAAGGTCGTGATTACACGGGACCTTGCACCTTCCGCAACCGGTAGGCCCAACCAACAGCGTATGACTTATGTGCACTTATCACCCCCCCAACTTGGTGGGATACAATGCTTTGCTGTTTGCTTCTTAGGGGAAATGGCTCTAGTGTTGGCCTGTGGATCTAAAGATCTTGAATGCGTCATATGGTCAAATCAAATGATTATTTTTGGTTGCTAGCGAAACATTGTCGAACAATGCTTTCCTTCGAAATTTTTGTCCAATAATTTAGGCCGACATTAGGGACATTAACCCTTTATCTCGATAGCTCGTTCAGAAGCTTCGGTGGGCATGTATGTTTAACCGTTGGGACAGTACAGCTCAGAGTGAACGCGCACAGAGGTTATTTATGAGCGTTTAGGAATAATTTATTACCTCTTCGATGGAAAAGATAATCAGGATAATTGCAACATTTTCATCAAGTTAGAGGACATTGAGCTGGTGATGCGACGATGATTAAATCGACAAATAAACCATGGATTCTCGGATTGGATCTTCTTGCATGCCGGTTGAATTTCATGTAATGTTTGTTTAATTACATTTAATTATTTTCTGTATTTGTAAATGCGTGTATAAGAAATTATTGAAAGATTCAGTTGAATCGTAAAAAAATAATGTAGAACTCGATTTTCCAGCAAGGACTCATAGGTAGGATGTTTTCTTTCAGCATCAGAATTACCACTTATGGCACATTTAAAGCCGACTGGTCCATCAAAACATCTCTAAAACTGACTGAATTGAGCTAGAAGGAGCAAAACAATAGGCAAATTAAATGCTTGTGATGCTTCTGTTATAAAGCATTTGGAAATGATGAATACCACATTTTATTCCAAACATTATTACTAGTTCTGCTTTGCAGATATGTAACGAGCCAGACAAATTGATGCCTAGTATCTCATACCTACTGCATATAGGTATGCCGGGACAACTACAGGGTATCCATCCAACCGGGAAAACCAGGAAATCCGGGAAAAAAATCGGGAATTCGGATTTGCCGGGAAAACCCGGGAAAACCCAAATCGCACCGGGAAAATCATACATATATATTCATCCTAAGTAGCAATTTTGTTTTTAAATATCATAGTCTTGTGGGCTATAATATGGTCTTGAAGAACTATTTAAACCTTTATAAAACTTGCATTGTTACATGGAATCAATTCATTTTATAGCATGTACATAATTATATTATTTTGTTTACAGATCTGTTTATAACTTTCATATCATGCCTTTCATTGTGGTAAAGTATCAAAATTCATCAAAATTACAAAAACTCTATTATTTTCTTTCACAATCTGTTCGCGCACAGAGAAAACGGTGATTTTGCCGTTGTTTTTACCACGAATGTCTGTAGGCTAAATTTTTGGTGTCATTGGAAGAAAAATGATTGAATTCTTTTGCTACAGTTTTCTGTGTGAAGTAGTTATAAAGCCTGAGCGAGACATATCTTGTTATGAAGCTACTTGAAGATAGAGAAGCAGATTCATGCCAACAAAAAAAATGCCCGATCAAACTTGGCATGCAAATGTTCGACACCGGACACATTCAACGAAATTATACATGTAAACTCATGAAATGATTGGTCCAGAGATGAATTAAAAATAATGTCTGCATTTGTGCTAACCAGGTACACAAGAATAGTCAGGACATCGTAGAATACCTTGGTTAATCTGTAAAACATAAAGAAATTCTAAGTACTTAATTCTAGAAGAAATCATCATTATCCTGAGTAGAAATCTAACCGGCATGAGTCACGAATGATACAAGAGTGACTAAAATAATAATAATTAAAGAAAAATCTGAACTCCAGGCATTTTGGAAAATCTAATAATCCAAACCAATGATATTATGGGGCTTTACGTAGGTTTACCCATTATATCATTAAGTCGAATCATCGTATACCTTGTTGAGTCTGCAGAACTTTAAAATCAGATATTCGGGATGATTTGGATAATCCAATAATGTTGTTTTTTAAACAAAATTGATAATTTAAAATAATGTCATGAACTCAAAATACTCAAAAGTGCTAAAAATTCTTAACCTTTAAAATATCTCCTAGACAATTTGGAGAAATATAAATATTTTGGTAGCACATCTTTGTATCCCACAAAATGTTGTTTGGCTTATAGAACTTCAAGATATAAACTCCAGGAAGATTTTAAGAACTTTTAATAATGCATTTGTCCTGTTCAGGCAACTTTTATTGATATACGCTTTATCCAACACACCGATACAACATTTTGGCTCATTTTTGGCAGGAATTTTTTTTTTTTTAATTTTTGGATTGGTTTTTTTAACGTAGGACTACGTCTGTGCTTTTTATATGGGGGTACACTTTGTGAAAACTGAAAATGGAACATGTTACAATATTATGAAAGATTTTGGGCCAATTTCAATAATTTTATCACCAATCGATCAGAAATATTCCCACGCATCAATACTTCCGACTGATAGCAGCAGTAGGAAGGTGATCCACTATTCTACCTAACAAGCAACAATGACTGGTCGTGGCAAAGGAGGAGAAAAGGTCTTGGTAAAGAAGGCGCCAAGCGTCATCGCAAGGTTCTTCGTGATAACCGCTATCTGTCGTCTGGTTTACCGTGGTGGTGTCAAACGTATCTTCGGTCTGATCTACCAGGTCTGCTGGTGGTGTTCCTGGATAATGAGATCCGTGATGCTGTGGCCATGGATGTCATCTACGCTTTGAAGCGACAGACGCACTCTGTCCGGTTTCGGAGGTTAAATCATCACCAACTTTGGCAACAAAATGGCCCTTTTCAGGTCCAACAAGCTTATTACAGTAAAGAGTAGGAATAGAATTTATCTGTGCCTGTTTGTCCATATTCAGAACCACACGCCCCCAACGACCAAAAAAAATGGAAGCAGGGGTGCAATTGATTTTGATTGATTCTCTTCATCAACTTTCTCTTTGAAAAAAAAATACTACAAATTTGGTACGCCTACAATTAAAAATCCAACAGAATTAATATAAAAGATGATCGATCAATTAAAAGAACTAAATTATCTTCACATTTGTTTCGTCCACTAGCGGTCCTACGTCAAGCTTCCGTTCGTGCCCCTAGGCATCGGGAAAAAACGGGAATTGAAAAATTGGATTTAAACATTAAACTTCAAGTGAGAACATGGTTACGGTCAATAAATCTCTGAATGCTTAAGGTACCACAAGCAGTAAGTTAAATATTTCTGGTTCTTCATTTAATATTCTTTTCGGCAAGCTACAGAAAATTTCAAACATATATTTTATAAACTTAATACCAGATTCCTTCTGCAAAATATGTTCACTGTATATGCATAGTTGTGCTCTTTGGATCACTACATTATTTCTAACAGTTGAAGATTTCATCGCTTGCAAACGTGCACGCTAGCGTTGTATTTTACTAACACATTAACAAAGTTATGATTAAAGAATAAAAAAGAAGAAGCAGGCATAATTTTCAAGATGTATTGTTGCATCTTAAGCAGTACTTCCCAACCTGGGCGCCTCGGCGTCCTGATGTGCCTCGAAGCATTCCCAGGTGCGCCGCGGGCTCATTTAAACAATATATATATTAAACACCAGCTAGGGAACGTATTTTTTAAAATTCATTCATTCACCAGTGCCTAATATTCAAACATGTGATAAAAATTTCAATATATCCTCTGTTCACTTCTGTAGTTAAAAAGTGGTCTCAAATCTCTCCCCCTGCAATAGTGAAATCCAACCAAGCACCAGCCACCCGTGGCGCTGTTGTCGTAGGGGTGATAAAAATGTAAAACATCTGTAAAAAGTGACTCGCATCAGAATTTTAACTTTTTAAATTGAAAATTTGCCTTATTTTGTACGTTTTTGGTGATCAAAAAGCTTGTAAAATTTGAAATTACTCTAATGTTGGCCCAGTTGGCCCATCGCTAAAAATCTGCTATTTATCAATTTTATCTAGATAAACGCGTCATTGGGACGGTACTAATGGATATTTTTGGTCGCTAATGAAAATTTAGTAGATTGCTGAAT